ATTAATAGTGGAGGACTTCAATACCCTATTTTCAACAATGAACAGATCATCTAGAGAGAAAATAAAGAAACATCGAGGCCTGGTGCAGTGGCTCACACCTGTGATCCCAGCATTTTGGGAGGCAGAAGCAAGAGGATCACCTGAGCCAAGAGTATAGCCTGAGCCCAGGGGTTTGAGACCAGTCTGGGCAACTTGGCAAGACCTCGTCTCTATAATTAACAAAAAAAAAAAAAATTAGCCAAGCGTGGTGGCACACGTCTGTAGTTCTAGCTATTTGGAAGGCCAAGGCTGAAGGATTGCCTGATCCCAGCGGGTCAAGGCATTGGTGGCTGTGAGTGTACCACTGCACTCCAGCCTGGGCAAAAGAGTGAGACTCAGACTCAAAAACAAAAAGAAAGAAAAAAACATTGCACTTGAATTATACTTTAAACAGATAGACCTAACAGACATGCACAGCGTATTCCATCCAACAGCAACAGAAAACACATTCCTCTCAAGCACAGAGTAAACATTTTCCAGGACCGAGAATATGTTAAAGGCCACAAAAAAGACTTAAGAATTTTAAGAAGATTGAAATCATATAAGGTATCTTTTCCAATCAAAATAGTATGAAACCAGAAATCAGTAATGGGAGAAATCATGAAAAATGTATAAATACATTGAAATCAAACAGCATGCTTCTGAACCACCAATGAGTAAATAACAGAAAGTAAAAAAGAAAATCACAAAATATCTCAGGATAAGTGAAAATGAAAACACAACATACCAAAGCTTATGGGAGGCAGCAAAAACAGTACTACGAGGGAAACATATAGCAATAAATATCTATATCAAAAGAGAATAAAGGCACCCAGGCACAGTGGCTCACACCTGTAATCCTAACTACTTAGGAAGGCTAAGGCAAGAGGATCACTTGAGGCCAGGAATTCAATACCTACCCAGGCAGCATAGTGAGACCCATAAAAAATAAATTAAAAAAGAGGAGAAGGATGGAAAGGAAGAGGAGGAGGAGGGCACCACACTACCTAACTTCAAAATATACTACAAAGCTATAGTAACCAAAACAGCATAGTATTGGGATAACAACAGACACATAAATCAATGGAACAGAATAGGGAACCCAAAAGAAAATCCACATATTTACAGTCAACTGATTTTTCAACAAAGGCATCAAGAACATAAAAGTGAGGAAAAACATCTGCTTCAGTAAATGGTGCTGGGAAAATTGGATATCCATATGCAAAAGTGTAAAACCAGACTCTTCTGTTTCACCACTTGCCATATATAAACATCAACTCAAAGACTTGAATGTTAAGACCTGAAACTATAAAACGACTAGAAGACAAAGAGAAAATGGTTCAAGACATTATTGCCCTAGGAAAAGATTTTATGGCTAAGACTTCAAAAGCACAGGCAACAAAACAAAAAATAGACAAATGGGACTATATTAAAAAGCTTCTGTATGTAAAAAAGCTTCTATATAACAAAGGAAAATATCAACAGAGTGAAGAGACAGTCTGTAAAATGGGAGAAAATATTTGCAAACTATTCATCCAACAAGGGACTAATATTCAGAATATGCCATGAACTCAAACAACTCAACAGAAAAAAAATTAGCCCCATTAAAAAGCAGGTAGACCGGGCGTAATGGCTCACACCTATAATCCCAGCACTTTGGAAGGCCAAGGTGAGAGGATTGCCTGAGCCCATGGGTTTGAGATTGGCCTGCAACTTGGTAAGACCTCATCTCTACAATAAATCAAAAAATTTAGCCAGACGTGGTGGCACTTGTCTGTGATTCCATCTACTTGGAAGGCTGAGATGGAAGGATCACCTGAGCCCAACAGGTCGAGACTGCAGTGGCCGTGAGCAGCATGCCACTGCATTGCAGCCTGGGCAACAGTGTGAAACTCCAACTCAAAAAAAAAAAAAAAAAATCAGGTAAAGGACATGAAAAGGCATTTCTCAAAAGAAGACATACAAATGGCTAACAAGTATATGGGGGAAAAATGCTCAGCATCACTAATCATCAGGGAAATGTAAATCAAAACCACCATGAGATTTCATCCCACCCTAGTTAGAATGGTTATTACCAAAAAGACAAAAAAATAACAAATGCTGACGAGGATGTGGAGAAAAGGAAACTCTTATACATTGTTGGTTGGAAAATAAATTAGTACAGATATTATTGAAAACAGAATGGAGATTTCTCAAGAACTAAAGATAGAAGCGTCATACAATTCAGCAATCCCACTACTGAATATTTATCCAAATGAAAGGAAATCAGTGTATCAAAGGGATAGCTTTACCCCCATGTTTATGGTAGCACTATTCACAATAGCCACGATATGGAATCAACCTAAGTGTCCATCAACAGACAAATGTGGCATATGCACCACAGACAAATGTGGCGTGCGCGTGCACATGCACACACACACACACACACCAGACAAATGTGGCACCCACACACATACACAGACAAATGTGGCACCCACACACATATACACAACAGACAAATGTGGTGCACACACACACAATGGAATACTCTTCAGTCATAAAAAGGATGAAATCCTGTTATTAGCAGTTGTATGAATGGAACTAAAGGTCATTATGTTAAGCTAAATAAACCTGGCACAGAAAGACAATGTTCTCACTCATATGTGAGAGCTAAAACAGTTAATCTCAGAGCTAAAGAGTAAAATGATAGTTACCAGAGGGTAGGAAGAGTGAAGGAGAGGATGAAGAGAGGCTGGTAGAGGGTGGTACAAACACACTGTTAGACAGAAGGAATAAAACCTAGTGTTCGGTAGTGGTAGGGTGACTATGGTTAACAGTAATTGTATTATTTGTATTTTTCAAAATAGCTAGGAGAGATTTGAAATGTTCTCAACTCATAGAAATGATAAGTACTTAAAGCGATGGAGAGCCTAAATATCCTGTTTTGATCACTACACATTGTATACATGTTTCAAATATCATGTGTTCTTTATAAATATGTATATTGTGTATCAATTAAAAAGCAATTTTAGTAATTCAAAAGAAAAAAATCTCAATCTAATGTTACACCCTAAGGAATTAGAAAAAGAACAAACCAAGCCTAAAATGTGCAGAAGGAAGGAAATAACAAAAATCAGAATGGAAATAAATTGAGACTAGAAAAACAATAGAAAAAAAATCAATAAAATGAAGAGTTGTTTTTTCTTTTGAGTTGGAGTCTCACTCTGTCACCCAGACTGAAGTGCAGTGGCCGCTCCCGGCCACCACAGCCTTGACCTGCTGGGCTCTGGCAATCCTTCCGCCTCAGCCTTCCGAGTAGCCAGAACTACAGGCGTGCGCTATCACGCCTGGCGAATTTTTTAAAATTTATTTTAGAGACGAGGTCTCGCCAAGTTGCCCGGGTGGGTCTTGAACCCGTAGACTCAGGCTCAGTCTCCCAAAATGCTGGGATTACAGGCTGAGTCACTGAGCCTGGCCGAAGATTTTTTTTTAAAGATAAATAAGACTGATAAACCCTTCGGTAGACAGAGAAAAAAAGAAGGCTCAAATAAATAAAATCAGAAATGAAAGAGGAGACATTACACTACTAATGCAGTAAATACAAAGGATCATAAGAAACTACCATGAATAATTATACACCAAAAAATGAGATAACCTGGAAGAAATGGATAAATTCTTAGGCACTTACAATTTACCAAGGCTTAACTATGAAGAAACAGAAAACCTAACTAGATCAATAACAAGTAAGGAGATTGAATCAGTAATAAAAATCTCCCATCAAAGAAAAGCTCAGGACCAGATGACGTCACAGCTGAATTCTACCAAACATTTCAAGAACACCAATCCTTCTCAAACGCTTCCAACAAATTGAACCAGAGGAATAGTTGCAAACTCATTTCATGAGACCAGCATTACTAAAGCCAGACAGGAACACTACAAGAAAAAAAAATTACAGGGCAATATTCCCGATGAATGTGGATATGAAAATCCTCAACAAAATCTAGGAAACTAAATTCAACAACACATTAAAAGAATAATTCGCCAGGCTCGGCGGCTCAGCCTGTAATCCCACGCCTTTGGGAGGCTGAGGTGAGTGGATTGCCTGAGCCCGCGGGTTCGAGACCCGCCTGGGCAACTTGGCAAGACCTCATCTCGACAATAGATAAAATAAAATAAAAACTAGCCGGGCGTGGTAGCGCGCGCCTGTAGTTCCAGCTACCTGGAAGGCGGAGGCGGAAGGATCGCCGGAGCCCAGCAGGTCGAGGCTGCGGTGGCCGGGAGCGGCCCCTGCACTCCAGTCTGGGCGCCAGAGTGAGACTCCAACTCAAAACATAAAAAGAAATAAAAAAATAAAGCAGTAACAGCTATGAGAAAATGGTAACATATAGGGGAAGATCTACCTCTACTGTTTTGGAATTCACATTAGAATCTATGTCAGATGTGAGAGGGAAGAGGAATGCCAGTCCGGATTCCCAAATAGGGGAGAGGAGAAAAACCATATCTGGCAGCAAGATGAGTTGGTAAGAAGGAGAATGTCAAATCTTGAAGAGAAAAGAAGAAATAGAGAAGTGATCATTTTGTATAAGTTTGGAGATATGGTTTTGAGAGATGTTAATAAGGAAGACCAGTGGGATTAAAATTACAGAATACATTAACTCAGCAATCACTGAATAGGCAAATTAGACGTCAGTATGTCAGAGGACTCTGGTGACGCCCACTGGGTTCTGGTGGGAGCCCTACCCATCTGACATAGAAAAACCGGACCTCCAGGGACCATCGGAAATACGAGTGTTTTCTGAGACAGGTCTTTAACATCATCATCCACAGAAACCCAGAGAACGACAGTGGATGCAAGAAGTTCAGGTGATTTTGCCTGAATTGTACTCCATGCTGTCTTTCCTTCAAGGACTCATCATTATCACAGTTGACTTAGAGCTGAAGGACCCCAGAGTTTTTCTACAACTGGCTGTATATAGGCACTGAATCTTGTGACTATTATGTTCCTAGTGTTTTGGGCTTTCACCACCACGTGGTTCATGATTAATCAACATGAAGTTATTGAAACCAACTTCTGCTGTTGCCTCTAGGAGCACAATTTGCAACGTCTCTGGATCTGAAACAGCTACTGACTGGAGGGAAAGTGAGGAGGCAGTGAACAGGACATTTTATTCTTTCACTGCTCTACTAATCTAGGTCAAAGCAGGAGTTTCCAGGCCCTATATTTTGTTTTTAAAAGGAGGGTATAGGAGAAGTCAGGGAACAATCGGAGGAGTAGGGATTCAAGCAGATAATTCTAAACTTTGTTTTAAAATGGCTTTACAGCCGGGCACGGTGGATCACACCTGTAATCCCAGCACTTTGGGAGGCTAAGGTGGGAAGATTGCTGGAGCTCAGAAGTTTGAGACCAGCCTAGTCTCTCCAAAAAATTCAAAAATTAGCTGGGTTGGTGGTATGTGCCTGTCGTCCTAGCTACTTGGGGGGCTGAGGAAGAAGGAATGCTTGAGCTCAGGAGGTCAAGGTTGTAGTGAGCCATGATCAGGTCACTGCATCCAGCCTGGGCAACAGAGTGAGATCTTGTCTTAAAATAAAATAAAATAGCCTTACTTTTATTTTCTTTTTTTTTTAAGGTGAGAAAGCAGGATTTATTGAGAGGACAGAAAAGCTCCCACAGTGGGAGGGGACCCGAAGGGGTTGCCCAAATAGCATTACTTTTAATAGATTTAGTATTTTTACTCACCACCACTGCACAAAGGTTGTATTTAGGATGTTTTCGGAAAATTGGACATATGTAAGGCGTGAGGTCCAAGTTAGTGAGTGGGTAACGAATGTCTGTTCTCAGTTTCCTTTTCATCGTACCCTGAATGTCAAACCTAGAGGAAAAATAAATGCATAAAATATAAAGTAAGCCTGTGAACTAGTCATGAACAAAGTCTGCATACCTTAACAAATTCCCACATATAGTTAATTTCTGGGAAAGATTATTTGGTGCAGACTTGTAGATAAATTGCTTTTTCTTATCTAAATACATTTAAAGTACCACATTCACAAGCCTCACCAAAATTGAGACTGGAATCGGCCAGGAGTGTAATTCAGGTAGTGAGACAGTATACATCCAAGCTAAACTAAATGTAGCTGGGGGGAAAAGAAAGGGATAAAACAAAACTCAGCACAGGGGAAACCTTATCGCTAACTTCCTGAGTGCTTTGCTCCAACACAGGCTATTCATTCCAACCATGTTGGCTCAGCTTCTCCTTATCTTGATTTCAGCATATGTTGTCCCTGAGGTTTTAATATAATGCTTTAGTAAGAAAAAATTGTGAAAATATTTCACATTCTGTACTGTTATATAGATCATAAGTTCCCAAACCTGGACTCAGAATCACTCAGGAGCTTTTTAAAAAATATAATTATGTTCATTTTGAGAAAATGGCGGATTTAGATCTGAGGCAGGGAAATTACTAGGTAAGCCTAAGACATTCTTGTGCCAGAAATCAAGAAGTCTTGTTCTCAAGAAGTAAGGGAATGCCACATGATCCAGCAATTCTATACCTAGGTATCATTCCAAGAGAAATGAAGACAGATCTTTGTCCCCATAAAAACTGTATGCTAGTGTTTATAGAAGCTGCATTTCTAACTGCCAAAAAATGAAAACAACCCAAATATCCATCAACTAGTGAACAAACAATCATGGTACACTCATAAAAAGGAGTAACACTCAACAATACAAAAGAAGGAACTACCAATATATGCAACAACATGGCTGCTCTCAGAAACATTATGCTCCTTTCCAGTGGTGACAGCCTACCCACAAGTACATGCCTCTCACAAGTGATTTCCTTCATCCTTCTCCAGAGGAGGAGAAGAAGAAATACAAGAAGAAGCACCTGCATCAGGTGCAGAGCCCCAACTCCTACTTCATGGACGTGAAATGCCCAGGATCGTTTAAAATCACCATGGTCTTCAGCCACGCACACACAGTAGTTTTGTGTTTGGCTGCTCCATTGTCAGCCTACAGGAAGAAAGCAAGGCTCATAAGAAGGATGTTCCTTCAGGAGGAAGCAGCACTAAAAGCACCCCAATCGAGAAGAATGGAAAACCATCCCAATAAGCACATTTTGGATTTTTTTTTTTTAAATTATGCTAAGTGAAAGAAGCCAGACTCAAAACACTACACACATTATGTCATAGGACATTCTGATTTTGGCAAAACTATAGGGATGTAAATCAGATCCACAGTTTGTAGGGCTTACGGTAGGGGGGAAGAATGATTATAAAGGAACAGGAGAAAACTTTTGGGGGTGATGGAAATCGTCTATATGTTGGTTGTGATGGTTACATGACTGCATGCATTGTCAAAATTTATAGAACGGCACCAAAAAAGGATAAATTTTGTGTAAGTATACCTTGATAAAGTAACTAACTAATGGGGATCACACGAGCTGATTTGAACAAGCTCCCACTGGCCAATTTTGAACAATTTCAACACCAAAAACGAGAGATTTCTGATTTCCAGTTCCACATGTAAGAAGCTTGGAAGTCGCCATTCTGCCCTAAGAACAAGTTAAAAGCTGAACAAACAAACATTAACAACTCTTCTTAAATCTATAATAGAGGAGAGATCACAAGTCAAGCCACTGCTCCCAAAATTGGAGAAATAGCAAATACAGAGAATCACAACTTACCAGAGCAGAAACTGCTGAGCAGAAACCTCTCAGGGAACCAGTCTGGGAACCTAAACTCTAATTAATGAATTGCTGGAGGCTCAGTGTGAACAAGTCTGAGAGTTAAGAGCTCCAGAAGGTCCAGTCATGGGGGGCCCACACTTTTATGAGTTTTACCCCCAGGAACCCAACCAGGTTCTCACAGTAAATATTAGAGAAAAATTTCCTCATGTTTCTGGCAGGAAGAAGGACGAGGGAAAAAGGAACCATTTTGAAATACACCAGAGCATCCTGTTTTCCTTAACAAGGTCTGCCCTCGGGAGAAACTAGTTAGCCAGAGCCTGACCTGCTGGTGTTTTGTCAGAACTTAACTGAATGCGGGTTGGGGGGGGGGAATCCCCCAACTCCAGCCCACTCTAGCCATCCTGTCCCACCAAAGGAGGGTGGGGGACTGAGAAGCATGTGTGAAGTTCACCGTCTAGAGACACAGGCTCACCCAAGACTAAGACCTAATCATAAAACTAAAGAACGTACCCCAACCCTTACCACCACATTATCAGACCTATTTACACAGTTCCTTTTACCCAGTACATCATGTGTGGCTATCAAGAGAAAATTACAGGGCATACCAAAAGGTAAAAAACACAGTTTGAAGAGACAGAGTAAGTATCAGGACCAGACATGGCAGCGATGAGAGGATTAATAGACCAAGAATTAAAAACTGCTTAAAGGCTGGGCTTGGTGGCTCAGCCTGTAATCCCAACACTTTGGGAGGCCAAGGCCAGTGTATTGCCCAGCCCGGGCAACTTGGCAAGACCTCGTCTCCACAATGAATCAAAAACAAGCTGTGCGTGGTAGCACGCATTCCTATAGTTCTGGCTACTTGGAAAGGTGAAGTGAAAGGATCGCCTGAGCCCAGTGGGTCGACAGTGGGATGGCCGTGAGCGTGCCACTGCACTCTGGCCTGGGCGACAGTGAGACTCCAACTCAAAAAAAAACCCCAAAACCAAAAAACTGATTAATACACACACACTAAGGCATCTAATGCATAAAGTAGACTGCATGTAAGAACAGACGGTCAGTGTAACCAGAGACATGGAAATCCTAAGAATGAACCAAAGAAATGCTGGAGGAAAAAAACGCAAACATAAACAGAAATGAAGAATATTTTGTTAGTAGATTGACTACAACTAAAGAACAAATCTCTGAGTTTGAGGAATCTCAAAAGAAACCTTCAAAACTGGCCAGGAACAGTGGCTCATGCCTATAATCCCTGTACTTTGGGAGGCCGAGGCAGGAGGATTGCTTTAGTCTAGGAGTTCAAGACCAACCTGAGCAACATAGTGAGGCCTCGTCTCTACAGAAAATTTTAAAAATGAGCAAGCCTGGTGGTGCATGCCTGTAGTCCCAGCCACTCAGGAGGCTGAGGCAGAAGAATCGCCTGAGCCCAGAAGGTAGAGGCTGTAGTGAGCTGCGATTATGCCACTGCACCCCACCCTGGGTGACGGAGTGAGACCCCCAACTAAAACAAAGCAAAACAAAACAAACAAAAACACTTCAAAGCTGAAAAGAAAAAGACTGGAAAAAGCAGAGCAATATCCAAGGACTGTGGGACAATTAGAAAGGTGTAACATTTGCATAATGGGAATTCCAAAAGGATAAGAAAGAAAAAATAATAGAAGTAATATTTGAAACAATAACAACTAAGAATCTCTCCAAATTAATACTATACACCAAACCACAGCTCCAGTAATCTCAGAGAACTCCAAGCAGAAAACATGCCAGAAAAACTATACCTAGGTATATCATTTTCAAACTGCAGCTCTCAAAGATAGACAGCAGCCATAATGAAGGACAAACATGGACTTCTGAGCAACTTGGATGGATTTAGAGTATATAGTACTCAGTGATTTATTGCAGAAACAAAGAACAGAGTACCATATGTTCTCACTCATAAATAGACCCAGAACATTTACTATAACACTATAAGAAAGGAATTGGCAATAGTGGGATACTGCCAGGATGGGAGTAGGGACACAAAATCAATAAGGGTACCTGACCTCAAACCAGGCAAAGTGGGGACCAAAGGGAGGCCCAAACCTTACCGGTATGATGTTCACTTGTATACCTAATTCTGAATTGTACCCCTCATTTTTAACATTAAGAAAAATTATATATATAAAAACAATAATCCTGGGAAGGAAACACAACCTCTCAAAAAAAAAGATAAAGAGAAAAGTCCTGAAAGAAGCCGGGGGGGGGGGGACCCTTACCTATAGAGGAGCAAACATAAGAGTAATGTCCAACTTCTCCTCTGAAATCATGTAAATAAGAAGAAAGTGGAATGGAATATTTAAAGCGTTGTGAGGGAAAAAAACCTACCAACCTAGAATACTGTACCCTGAGAAATTATCTTTCAAAAGTGAAGAGTATAGACTTTCTTACAGAAGAAACACAGAGTGGATGAACCTTGAAAACATGCTAAGTGAAATAGAACAGACAAAAAAGGACAAATACTGCATTACTCCACTTATATGAGATACCTAAAATAGGAAAATAGAGACACAAAGTAGATTGTTATCAGGGACTTAGGGAAAGAGAAGGTGGAGTTACTCATGGTTACAGAGTTTCTGTTTAGGGTGATGAAAAAGTTTTGGAAATAGTGGTGATTATTACACAACATTGTGAATAATTAATGCCAATGAACTGTACACTTAAACATGCTAAAACAGTCAATTTTATGTTATATTATATATAGTTTATCACAATTTTAAAACATTAATAATGTAACACACCAAATACCAGTTGTACACTATATATGAATGATTTGTCAGCATATGAATTATATCTCAATAAAGCTGCTCAAGAATATCTGTTCACAAAAGGTCAAAATTCATACCTTTTTAAGTGAAAAATGATTGTTTTTGGTGCTTTGGAAATACTGGCTCTCACAGCTGTTTCTTGCTTGGTTTCACAAAAGGAGCAATGAATTTGGTTGCTCCAGGTCAGTGTGTCTTGCTGGAAAAAACACTGAAGACAGTCCTGTTAACGAAAAAAGCATTTGGTGACCAAATTGGATCCACGGGAACCTGTGGTCTTTGTTTATGTGAGAACTTTGAAAAAATCATGGAAATGTAATCCTTGGTGCTTTTCTCAAAGTTGACTGTTCCAGAAGATGTCAGTTATAAGCTGCAACCAGACAGCTGTAAAATCTACCAAGCAAAGGAGATGCTTTTTTCTCAGTTATTGAAATGGATTCGAGTGCCTGCCTTGCTTAAACATCTATGAATCAGCATTTTAACATTTCTGGTTTATTTCAGAATAATATGGACATTGCAGTTTTCACTAATGACATCAAGTAACTGTTTTATGTTATTCATCTCATCACTAAAGTGATCTGGTGACTGAAAAATGACCATATCTCAGGCGTAAGTAGTGCATAATAAAGAAAACAAAACAGAGATCAATTAGATGTCATATCCAGTGGGTATGTCCTCATTGTGTCCTGGCCTCTGGTTCTGCAAACCATTAGCCTAAAGAAGAAGATGAGCACAGATTTTGTTTTCAGTAGACTAGCAAGCACGGCACTTAAAGAGTGTTTGGGGCTAGGTGAAGTGGCTCATTCCTATAATCCCAGCACTTTGGGAGGCAGAGGAAGGACAATCACTTGAGTCCAGGATTTCGAGACCAGCCTGGGTACCATAATGAGACCTCATCTCTAAAAAAAATTTTAAAATGAGCTGAGTGTGGTGGTACATGCCTGTAGTCCCTGCTACTTGGGAGGCTGATACAAGAGGATTGCTTGAGCACAGGAGTTGGAGGCTGCATTGAACAGTGATTGTGCCACTGCACTCCAGCCTGGGATACACAGTGCCACCCCTACTCAAAAAAATAACAAAAGACAGGGTGTTTGGAATTTCTCCCCAGCTATCTTCAGCAGTTTCATCTGAGAACAAAGCTAATAAGTAATAGAATTGTATTCTCCAATTTTGGTATGTGAAAACTTTCAGTAATAGATGTGCTTTCATAATTTAGGGGGAAAAAGTACATGTGTATAATTCTGCAAGAAAACTTATGGCTGTCTGTCTCCTGTTTCTTGCTAACTTATTGCAGCCTGTCTTCCACTACAGCGCACCACTGCCACCCACCCCGCACCCAAACCCCTGCTTACAGATAAACTTTTGGCATTGTGATGAAGAAAGTTAGAGAGGTAAACTAAGGCATAAGGTTCTATTCTGTTTTTCCAACACATATCACGGCTTCAGTCCCAAATGTAAGAGCGCAAGACTAAGAGTTAGCATCTTTTATTTATTTTTCAATTTATTATTTTTAATAGAAATAGGGGTCTCACTCTGTTGCCCAGGCTGATCTGGAACTCCTGTTCTCTAGCGATCCTCCCATCTTGGTCTCCCAAAGTGCTGGAATTACAGGCATGAACCCATTCCAGAATCTTTCATATCTAGTTCCCACTCCTAGCCTATAGACCTCTGGGATGAGGGAGCATCACAAAGTTTTTGAAGGAAACTATAAATTCCCTGTATGCACCAAGCCATTTCAATAGACTGAATAAACCTCACCTGCATTTTCAAGTTTACAATGAGAGGCCGGGCGTGGTGGCTTATGCCTATAATCCTAGCACTATGGAAGGGGGAGGCAAGAGGATGGCCTGAGCCCAGGGGTTCGAGACCAGCCTGGGCAACTTGGCAAGCCCTACAATAAATTTTTAAAGATTAGCCAGCTACTTGGGAGACTGAGACAGAAGGATTGCTTGAGCCCAGCAGATCGAGGCTGCGGTGGCCATGAATGTGACACTGCACTCCATCCTGGGTGATAGAGTGACTCCTCCAAAACATGCGGACAAAAACAATGAGGCAGTGTTGTTGAGTACATTTATGACTCAGTTACGACTGAATTCAAAGTAACTTTGGACAAGCTTGTTGCTTTAAAAATAGATGCTGTCGGGCAAACCCCTTGGGTCCCCTCCCATTATGGGAGCTTTTCTGTCCTCTCAATAAATCCTACTTTCACACACACACACACACACACACACACACACACACACACACACA